CAGTTTCATCGTAGCACTTGATGGTTTTTGCAACTGCACTTAAAGAAACTTTCAAAGTTCTTGAAATTAATGATGGACTGTCGTTTCTCTTTGCTTATTTGAGCTGTTCTTGCCATAACTTGGACATGGTCTTTTACCAAATAGGGCTACCTTCTGTATACCCCCCCTACCTTGTCACAACACAACTGATTGGCTCAAACGCATTAAGAAGGAAAGAAATTTCACAAATTAACTTTTAAGAAGGCACACCTGTTTATTGAAATGCATTCCAGATGACTACCTCATGAAGCTGGTTGAGAGAATGCCAAGAGTGTGCAAAGCTGTCATCAAGGCAAAGGGTGGCTATTTGAAGGATCTCAAATATAAAATATATTTTGATTTGTTTAACACTTTTTACTACATCATTCCATATGTGTTATTTCATAGTTTTGATGTCTTCACTATTATTCTACAATGTAGAAAACAGTAAAAATAAAGAAAAACCCTTGAATGAGTAGGTGTTCTAAACCTTTTGTTCAGTAGTGTATATATTTTACGTCCGCTGTCCTTGTCCTTTGCATGGCCTCTCCAGACCCAGATATGTGTTGTCCTCTCTAGCTGACCCTCTATCTACCCAGAAACCTCAGCTGTGACAATCTCTCTAGCTGACCCTCTATCTACCCCGATACTTTAGCTTTGACAACCTAAGGCTGGTCAACACAAATATTTAACCCCATGACTCATCCACTTGGCCAGGCTCCCATTGTGTCGATGTCAGGTGTGTGGCAGTGTCTGTGTGTGTGTGTGTGTGTGTGTGTGTGTATGTGTGTGCGTGTGTGTAGCTGATTGTTTTCTAGGAGATCCCAATCTCCTGGGTTGAGAGTTACCTGCATGTTGAAGCCAGTATCCATCAGCAAGGACATCCAGGATGTTATCCTCTCAAACATATTTCAGGAGCATATTTTAGGTGAATTAGATGCAGGAGCTCTTACTGTTTTGACATAATGACAAGTTGGCCCGCATCAGATGGAATCCACTCTCCTCCAGGTGACTATGCAACGAAGAGCTTTAGAAATCAAAGAAGTAGAACAAAGAGTTGGGAGATGTTCTGTCGAAGGCTGCTTCCTGTATCTCAGGACCAAGGGCCAATCAGGAGCTAAGAGGACTAGGGGTTGCTGGGGAAACTGCTGAGATGACAGTGTGCACCATGGCCCATAGCTAGCTGGCTCACTACATTTATATATACTGACAGCAGTGTTTTGTTGAAAAGAAATCCCAAACTACAAAGGCAGTATATACTGTACCTTACTACTAAGAGTTTATATCAATATATTTGGTTTATTCACAGGCCTACTAAGGATATGAGATACAGCTGGTTTGTTCACAGGCCTACTAAGGATATGAGATACAGTCTGTTTTATTATCTCTTCCTTTGACATCAGGTAGTGGGCAGAACAGAACTCAGATAACCTCCATTGTGATGCATGTACTATCCAGCCTAATGTTCCTGTTGGTGGTCTCTGTGAGTGTGTATTCATTGTATGCACTGAGGTTTAAGACAAAAGCTTAGTTTATTAGCTTACCGGTATATCCATAGATAATAGGCTATGAACTTTGTGGGCTTTGTAAGACTTCAATTCATATCGATTATGCTCAGTTTGTTAACTCAACTTTGAAGTCAGCATCCTGACTGTTTGGTGCGACAATGACTATAGGAGTTGGCAAGACAGCACAAACTGAGCTGGGACCAGGCTAGGTAATGACTATAGGAGTTGGCAAGACAGCACAAACAGATCTGGGACCAGGCTAGGTAATGACTATAGGAGTTGGCAAGACAGCACAAACTGATCTGGGACCAGGCTAGGTAATGACTATAGGAGTTGGCAAGACAGCACAAACTGAGCTGGGACCAGGCTAGGTAATGACTATAGGAGTTGGCAAGACAGCACAAACTGATCTGGGACCAGGCTAGGTAATAACTATAGGAGTTGGCAAGACAGCACAAACAGATCTGGGACCAGGCTAGGTAATGACTATAGGAGTTGGCAAGACAGCACAAACAGATCTGGGACCAGGCTAGGTAATAACTATAGGAGTTGGCACACCTAAACCTTACAGCCACATCCTAAACACTACACCTTAAAACCCTGAGATTTTAACATTCCATCTGAAGCAGGCACATCCAGCTGAGAAAGCAAAGCTCAGGATTGAGAGATGGTAGTGGGCGAGTTAGGGAACAGATGGCGAGACATTACACATTGTGGTTTGAGTCAGCCAGCTGTAGCTAGCTGCCACACGACAGAACAGAGAAGAGGGAAAAGGAATAGAGAAGAGAGAGAGAGAGAGAGATAGAGTAGAGAGAGAGATAGAGAGAGAGAGATGAGATTACTCGAGGAGAGTATAGAAGCTCTATTAGACTGCTTACTCGCACATTCGTATTCTCAGAGCAGCGAGGTAAATAGGGACGGGTAAGAAAGCAAGCAAGTTCGCTTCTTGTCTGTGGGGTGAGTGAAGAACCGGTTATTCATCCACGTTTCTGCGTGTTTCCAAAGACAGATGGAGTTTAGAACACAACACGTTCCAGAGGTCTATAATGTTCCACAGCATTTCAACCATTTTGGCCATATTGAGTGTACCCATGAGTGTACTGTCAAATTTCTGTGTGGAGGGGCTATGCCCGTTCTAATTCTATTTCTCAGCCCTGGAACTAAATCAGTTGAGTTATTAGCCTGAAGCAGATAGAATGAGCAGAATAGAATGCCCCAGTGTGAGATGGAATGTTTACTGACAACACACAAGGAGGATGAAATGGGTAATAGAATGAAAATTGCTGATTCCTTGGACGGCCTATAGACAGTTGAAGCACAGAATTAACCCTTCCTGAGTTATGACTTTGTCTGCATAGGATTCTCAAGGCCACCTCATTGCTAAGGCCACTGTGAAAGCACTTTGTGCTGATGTAAAAATTGCTTTTGAAAAAATTAAAGCTAGACTCAAACCTTGATAATTTTCCCGGGATAGGTCCAGGAATATGTGCAATTGCGTATATTGCATAATTTTTGGAATATCAAAATGTGATTTAACCACACTCCCCCTTGAAAAATAAACTTGTATATCATAAGTTTAAAGTCTAACCTAGTTTCTTTCTCTGTTTTGTTTGTTGTGAGAGAGCAGCCCCCCACCCACTCCAGACTCCAGAGTGCATGCCATGCCAATATAGTGCTTGTTTGGTGATATGAAATTTGGCTGAAAATCGATTATTACCCCCAAAAAATACTCTAACATTCATCTTCTTAGGAGACTACCAGATCAGAGCCATTGAATATGAAGGATGAGGAGAAGAGGCGGGGAGAAGGAGGTAGACCAGGAAAATTCTATTTTCCTCCCTCCCTCCTTTCCTTTCCCCCCCCTTCCCTTGGGGGAGAGAAAGGGAAAAAGGAAAAAAAAAACCCCCCCCCCCCCCCAAAAAAAAAAACGGGAAAACCCCAAAAAAAAAAAAACCCCCCCCCCCCCCCCCCCCAAAAAAAAACCCCCCCTTTTTTAAATTTAAAATCTGTGGGTTTTTAAAATTTTCCCCCCCTTCTACCCGTTTTTTCCAAAAAGGGATTTAAAAACCGTTCTTATGTTACTGACACAAGGGTAATGGGTTAAATGAAATTCGCTTTTTGGGGCCTTCAAATTACAGAACATAAGGTTGCCTGACTATAATGCGAAATAGATCAGCCACCTCTGCTAGGAGCCTTGAAAGCCACGTTGTCTGAGTAAATGTTATGAAAATAATTTGGAGCTCAGAGAGAGAGTGAGAGCAGAGAGAGAGGTACCCAGGAGAGAGAGAGCCTAGTGAGAAGAAGGCTGAGAGACCTCCAGATGCCTCCCTCCATAACCATTGCACTGCATCTGCACATATTGAGAGAGAGAGAGAGAGAGAGAGAGAGAGAGAGAGAGAGAGAGAGAGAGAGAGAGGAAGAGAAGACAGAGGACAGGAGAGAGAAGAGAAGGAGAGGAGAAGACAGAGAGAGAGGGACAGGAGAGAGAGAGAGAGAGAGAGAGAGAGAGAGAGAGAGAGAGAGAGACAGGTAGAAGAGATAGAGAGAGAAAGCGAGAAACCTCCTCCAGCACCAAAGCCCTGGAGCAAAAGTCCCAGAACTCCCCACTCCACTTCCTCTCAGCTCTGTGAAAGTGTCACTCAGCGTGTCAACCCTCCCGGCCACAGGGGACCTGACAGTGACAGGCTCTCTGAAAGACCTTGTTTATACCCTCGTCGAATGTTCGCCCTTGTTCCAACCGACCTTAGCTAGCTCTCAGCTCTGTCGTGGTCATCAGATTCAGAACTCAGGGCTCAGTTGGTAAGAGTGTGGCGCTAGCAATGGCAAGGTTGTGTGTTCAATTCCCACAGGGATCACATACACATTATAAATGTACAGTATACACTCACAGTACTTTGAGTTCAGTTTGGATGAAAGAGTCTGCTCAGGGGAAAATACATTCACTCTTCACATCCAGCTTCTCTCTGTCTACTGGTGGTGGAAGGTCAGTGAACAATAGAGTAGGCTGTATGGTTTTGGCAGCAAAGGAAAATACCTCCTGATTGTATGAGCTCTGAGATTATAATAACGCATTATAATGAGGGAGGCTGCAATAATACATCCCTAAAGGAGGTCAAGACTATAGCTCAGTGGGAGACGGATGGATGGTGAATGGAGTCACTGATTAGAATTATTTCCAATACCCTAATAGATATGCCTTGGTTGTCAAGTAGTGTATTACTTACTGTGCAGAGGTCTAGTAATCAGTAGACTACTTTTTTTGTGATTATAGCTATCACAATTTCAACAAGGTTTATTTTATAGAACAGCAGTCGAGCTGGGTGGACTTTTTCCATAATACATTTTTTAAAATGAATTTTCCTCATTCGTGTAGATATGCTGCCATCTGACGGACAACCTGTGATAACACATGCAATCAAAATGCTCGGTTTGTCCCTCGTCGTATACTATTCTCAAATCATGTGAACGCGCATACGTGCGGACGTGCAGCAGCGTGAACTATTTACAGAGTCATCTGATTAGGTAAGAACATAATGTACCTTTTCGTAACAGCACACATTTACACGAATATGTCAGGAACTTAAAGCAGATCATCGTGTTGTAATGGTGTATGTTGACATTGAAATGTAATTTTGAAAAATAAGAAATTGTCATCTCAAACTTACGTCAGTGTCGCGAACGAGAAGTGAGAGTGCAGCCGATCAAAACAAACAAGACTGGGCTTGTGTCAGCTCTTTAGCTACCTAGCTAATTAGCGTAGCTAGGCTATCTGTCATTGTCAGTTGTCAACAACACTTGCTAGCTGTATCATCGTGTTTTTGTCCCTTTTAGCTTGCTAGATAGTAAAAAAAAAAAACATAGCAGTAAGCAACAATATGAAGCAATCGCTCAGGCAACACATAGTATATAACCGTACAAGCTAACTTGCAATATCAAGTTCCAGTTAGATCAATTCAATTATATTTCCTCCTGTCCGCTGTATTCTATCTGTCTGTGCTGCATGGTTTATCAGCTGACCTGTTATGTAATGTCACACAAGTAGTATTCATCCTTGTCGTCTTTCCACATCTTCAGGTCTAAAACTACAGATAGAAGGCCACCAGGATGACTAGTGTACGTACTAAACATTTACATAATATAATAGACAGTAATGTAATGGTACTGTGGTATACTAGTAATACGGTAGTTTGGGTGCTGTTCCTCTAATTGATTGATTGGTTGATTGATTTGATGAATACCTGTAGGTGCTGTGTGGGCGAGCCCGGCTGGTGATATCCCAGTCGTCAGGGCGTCAGGCCCTAGCTGCACTCAGGGTGGGTTGGATACGAACCTTCTCAGCTGCTGGTTCTGATGAGCCTTATTTTGTCGTGTCACGGGGGGACTCAGACTCAGGTAGGCTATGCTATAGCAACCACAACACAGGTAACACTGGTTCATTTGTTATTTTTACACTAACTGTGACCATATTTTGGTATTTTGGCCTGTGCGTTTTTGAGTTAGAATTGTATGAGAAAATGATCTCACACTTTACATAAATATAGCTACTGTTAGGCAGAAAATACATTGTCAAATTTAACATTGCTGTACTACACCTCTCTCTCTCCCTACCAGGCCCTAGGACAGTGTGGCCTGATGAGAACATGGGACCATTCGGCCCCCAGGACCAGCGGTTCCAGTTGCCAGGTAACTCAGGCTTTGACTTTCACCTGGAAGGCATGGCAGACCAGAGGTTTAAAGGCCCAGTCCACAGGACGGTACCTGACGTTCTGACTGTTGCTACTAGCAACGAGAGACATGAGTTTGTACTGACCCAGTTTGTTGGCGAGTTTCAGGTAAATACGTCACTCACAATAACTCTTTAACTAAAGACGTGCCCTTATTCAATTGTAAATAAACATGGACATATTCTTAAACATTTGAAACATTTAAAAAATATATTTATATATTTAATAAAAACATTTATTTTATGTTTCATACTAGTACAGTTAGTTATATGATGAGTACTTACAGATAGGTGTTTTTTCTTTGTAGGGCAAAAGTGGTCACATGTTATCGAGGAGCATCCGCAAGGCAGAGCACTACTTTGATCACCCCAATGTGGACTGTTCTATACAGACCTGTCCTGAGCTGCTGAAGAAAGGTATAGTTTTTTATTAGGAATGTGTAGTCATACTTATCATAACAATAACTATACATATTATTTTATCAACCGCAATCCACACACATCAGATGGCTGTATGCAATATAAAGTATGTCCACTAGGGGGAAGTGACTTCATTGGTGATGTCACTAACTTTGTCCAAGAGGGTGATAGCAGACTTTTCTGTAGGCCTATTGGTTGGCTAGCAGTTGACTGTAACAACTTTCTCTTTATATCTGTTAGAGTTGGAATCCTATTTCCCAACGGCCCCAGACAGCGCCATCACTGTTGTCACGGTGAAACACACGAGATGTGAGGTGATCGACAAAGACCGAGAACAGCTACTTCATAAAGTGAGTTAGAACTCCCAAGTCCACTGGTTGTTTCCCATTGATATGGATTCAGTGAAACTGATTGCAGTAAGTTATTCTGGCATAACTTTTTGGAGTTGTAGGCCTGCGTACTTATTGAAGGTCTTACTCTGTACCTCCCCTTTATTGGGGAACTGTTTTCTTGTCAGTTAGTTTGAATACTGACAGATACTGGATGTTTTCTGTTATTTCAGTTAGTTTGAATACTGACAGATACTGGATGTTTTTCAGTTACAGTGGGGAAAAAAAGTATTTAGTCAGCCACCAATTGTGCAAGTTCTCCCACTTAAAAAGATGAGAGAGGCCTGTAATTTTCATCATAGGTACACGTCAACTATGACAGACAAAATGAGAAATAAAATTCCAGAAAATCACATTGTAGAATTTTTAGTGAATTTATTTGCAAATTATGGTGGAAAATAAGTATTTGGTCAATAACAAAAGTTTCTCAATACTTTGTTATATACCCTTTGTTGGCAATGACACAGGTCAAACGTCTTCACAAGGTTTTCACACACTGTTGCTGGTATTTTGGCCCATTCCTCCATGCAGATCTCCTCTAGAGCAGTGATGTTTTGGGGCTGTCGCTGGGCAACACAGACTTTCAACTCCCTCCAAAGATTTTCTATGGGGTTGAGATCTGGAGACTGGCTAGGCCACTCCAGGACCTTGAAATGCTTCTTATGAAGCCACTCCTTCGTTGCCCGGGCGGTGTGTTTGGGATCATTGTCATGCTGAAAGACCCAGCCACGTTTCATCTTCAATGCCCTTGCTGATGGAAGGAGGTTTTCACTCAAAATCTCACGATACATGGCCCCATTCATTCTTTCCTTTACACGGATCAGTCGTCCTGGTCCCTTTGCAGAAAAACAGCCCCAAAGCATGATGTTTCCACCCCCATGCTTCACAGTAGGTATGGTGTTCTTTGGATGTAACTCAGCATTCTTTGTCCTCCAAACACGACGAGTTGAGTTTTTACCAAAAAGTTCTATTTTGGTTTCATCTGACCATATGACATTCTCCCAATCCTCTTCTGGATCATCCAAATGCACTCTAGCAAACTTCAGACGGGCCTGGACATGTACTGGCTTAAGCAGGGGGACACGTCTGGCACTGCAGGATTTGAGTCCCTGGCGGCATAGTGTGTTACTTTGGTCCCAGCTCTCTGCAGGTCATCAATTTTGACCCCACGGGGGGAGATCTTGCGTGGAGCCCCAGATCGAGGGAGATTATCAGTGGTCTTGTATGTCTTCCATTTCCTAATAATTGCTCCCACGGTTGATTTCTTCAAACCAAGCTGCTTACCTATTGCAGATTCAGTCTTCCCAGCCTGGTGCAGGTCTACAGTTTTGTTTCTGGTGTCCTTTGACAGCTCTTTGGTCTTGGCCATAGTGGAGTTTGGAGTGTGACTGTTTGAGGTTGTGGACAGGTGTCTTTTATACTGATAACAAGTTCAAACAGGTGCCATTAATACAGGTAACGAGTGGAGGACAGAGGAGCCTCTTAAATAAGAAGTTACAGGTCTGTGAGAGCCAGAAATCTTGCTTGTTTGTAGGTGACCAAATACTTATTTTCCACCATAATTTGCAAATAAATTCATAAAAAATCCTACAATGTGATTTTCTGGAGAAAAAGAATTCTCATTTTGTCTGTCATAGTTGACGTGTACCTATGATGAAAATTACAGGCCTCTCTCATCTTTTTAAGTGGGAGAACTTGCACAATTGGTGGCTGACTAAATACTTTTTTCCCCCACTGTATATCAGTTAGTTTGAGAACTGACAGATACTGGATGTTTCCAGTTATATCAGTTAGTTTGAGTACTGACAGATACTGGATGTTTTCCGTTAGTTTGAATACTGACAGATACTGAATGTTTTCTGTTATTTCAGTTAGTTTGAGTACTGACAGATACTGGATGTTTTCAGTTATGTCAGTTAGTTTGAATACTGACATATACTGGATGTTTTCAGTTATGTCAGTTAGTTTGAATACTGACAGATACTGGATGTTTTCAGTTATATCAGTTTGAGTACTGACAGATACTGGATGTTTTTCAGTTATTTTAGGTTGAATACTGACAGATACTGGATGTTTTTCAGTTATTTTAGTTAGGTTCAATATTGACAGATACTGGATGTTTTCAGTTACTTTAGTTAGAGTACTGACAGATACTGGATGTTTTCAGTTACTTTAGTTAGAGTACTGACAGATACTGGATGTTTTCTGTTATTCCCCAGTTTGTTAGTGGTGCTAAGGAAATGTGCTTTGCTCTGTGGACCGCTGGCTTCTGGGCTGACTTCATTGACCCCTCATCAGGATCAGCTGTGAGTTGTTCTCCAATCTGTTTTGTTTGTTGTTAATTGTTTATATCACAATATCAATATAATGTATAATACATATATAATGCAATATGCATGTTCTGTTTACTGTACTTCATCAATCTGAGATATTTTCCAGGAGACGTATGTAGTCGTCAAGGCAATCCCATCATTTCCATTCCTTTATCTTGTCCCACAGTTCTTTGGAGCTCACTCCAACAACCCACTACTCAAAGAGGAGTGGAGGCATCAAGGTTTCCATATCGAGGCCTCTGGATCCTGCACAGTTATCCGTCACGTCTTGAGGGGAACACCTACGTTTGTTGGAACTGTTTTTACTACCGCCCCTGCCAATAGTCATGTCATGGAAAGACTTCAAGGACATTCAAGTGCATCTGAAGACGGGGGCTAGTTTTTTAATATTTAATTATCACAATGTGATGATGATGTATCTCACTATCCAAAAGACTGTTTGTGCACGGTCATCTCTTTGTCCACTTTGGATAGTTTGGGAGGAAAACCCTTACCCATAATGACGTTGTCTTCACCACACCAGCATGGAGAGAAAGTTCTTATGGTTTGTTGTCCAAATGTTGTCTTCACACACATGCCTAACTATGTTAGCCTGGTCCCAGATCTGTTTGTGCTGTTTTGCCAAGGTTGTCGTGAGGACACAAACAGATCTGGGACCAGGCTATATAACTACGTATTTGGAAGTAGACGGGTAGATTGCGTACAGTACTGCTGACTCTGATGATATCATGAATACTTGATTGAGGAAGATCCCTTTGGCAGCTATGTTTAACAGCTGTGAAACACCCAATAAACCACCTAGCTACCTTTTGACTAAGGGCTCGATTCTAGCTGTAGCGCTGAAGATCCGCGCTACGGCGCAATTTAACTATATTGCGATGTTCCTGTGTTCGCAGAGACCGCATTCACGTAGCATATTTTCGGCTCAATCGGAAATAACCTTTACATTTCAACCACACGATAACGCACAAATTCCTCAATATCGGATTTAATCTAGACCTCATATAGTCTGTAGTTAACACTTTCAGACTAGTCTAGAGATGATTGCTGCTGTACAGTGTTTTCCTTCACTTGCACAATGGGAATAGAAATATGGCGTCTTAGAGGAGTGTCTTGTACCTTAACCAATTAATATATCTATATGTCCGGTAGTGTACACATCATTCAGTCATTTAATTATTCAATCAGAAAGTAGCGGCTTGTGAGGCAACACACAATACTAAAAAATATATAATGAGTAGCTAATCCAAAAGAGAGTTTCAGTTGATCCTCCGTCCTCTTTACATACGACTAGAAAGGTAGACGATGCAATTCCCACAAAGTCTTTGCTAATTTCCTAGAGCTAATTAGGGAACACAAACACTAGGAGAAATTGAAATGAATATGCCTGGCCTTGAGGTAATGTATAACTTCTAGACCTTCTCTTTTAGTAAAGTGTTCCCAGGACAGGACAAGGAGTATGTTGTTTGGGAAACAGAAACATCTCCTTTCACACCTCTAGTAACTTCTCAAGGGGGTACAACTTTAGGCTAAACCTTGGAATCTGATCTGAGGAGGACTGATGGGTTTGGTTTGGAGCTGTGACCATTCTGTCTGTTGGCCAGAATCAGATAAAGAAAGTCCTTTAAAATGAAACCCCCCTCCCCCCCAGCAGCTTAACAGAAATAATCTCCTTCGCAAGGCTTTTAAACTACACCTCCTGGACGCAGAGGGTCTGAGAAAGACGTTACCTTTTAACTTCCTGGAGAAGAAAGCAGAGAGACCGAGAGGGGTGTTAGAATGGTCATTTTTTCTGCAGCTCGAAGCGCCAAACCTTTCGTTGTATTTCTGCCAAATGTAGGCTTAACTGTGAAACTTTACCGCAGTCCGACTCCACACACCTCGTGCGGCAACTAAAATATATTGCATTCCACAAACTACAGTATCTGGTTATGTGGATACTGTTTATACTGTAGAAACAACATTTTCAGGCAAACAATACATTTAATGATGAACACAATGTATACCAAACCTGGTACAATACATTTAATGATGAACACAATGTATACCAAACCTGGTATAATACATTTAATGATGAACATGATGTATGCCAAACCTGGTATATGGGATCTGTACAAGATGTTTAGACCGTCATCCTAAAGACGACATGCTAATCAATAAGTGCCAACCTTTCTATTGGACAGAACTGTAAGAAATACAGAAACATATTGCAACATTGTAGTGTTATGGTTGACATCATATCTTCCACAGCTAGCGCCAGATAGACAATGGGTTGAGAGGAAATGATCTGTCATCAGTCTCATGGGCATGCTGGGCACACAGCCTAAATCAACCAACCAACCACAAGACTCCAGGAACAAAAACACTGCACTGCAACCTAGTTCACTTTTCTTTCTACCTGAATCTAATGTTAACTACAGGTATTTAAGAATTGTTAAATGTATTATAAAAATAAATACTATGTACATATATCACATACTGCACATAGAATACAAATCCAGGAAATATAATACAGGAGAACTTCTTACAATAAGCCAAAATCTAGAAGAGTCCATCAATACTGTCTCGTTAAAAAAAAAAGAGAAATAAATTAAACAAAAGAAGAGCAACTATATAAAATTATAACGCAAAAACATCTCTGGTGACCAAACTCAGATCTACTTCTACCATGCATAAGGAGTGTTAAATGTCACAGACTGTTGGATAGCATGACTCTGATGACGGTAGGAGTGTTAGATGTCACAGACTGTTGGATAGCATGACCCTGATGACGGTAGGAGTGTTAGATGTCACAGACTGTTGGATAGCATTATGCTGATGACTGTAGGAGTGTTAGATGTCACAGACTGTTGGATAGCATGACCCTGATGACTGTAGGAGTGTTAGATGTCACAGACTGTTGGATAGCATGACTCTGATGACGGTAGAGCTCAGACAGCCAGTGAGCAGCCAGTTGTAAGTGAGTTGACCGTTACTGCTGTGGAGGGGAGAGGTGGTGGAAAAGATGGTGTCAGTCTTGTTTCTTGGCAACTGCATGTTACAGATGTTTCCTTCACAGCAAGCAGTGCAGACCTAGAATCAGGAATAGAGATAGAATCAGAATCACCTTTATTCACCGAGTACATTAACACACACACGGAATTTGAATAGGTGAAATGGTGCTTCCAGCAAAAAAACTAAATATACAGACAGACTACAGACAGAACACAGACAGACTACAGACAGAGGAATTGACAGAAAGAGATTCAAATAACAACTGCTGAGAAGAGAACAGATTCTTATCCAAGTGAGATCGTTCTAAACAGGGACCTGGGGATTACCATGACAGTGTGATAAATCATATCAGACACCACAGAGCAGAGAGGCACATTTTGAGCTGCAAATATTACTAATAAAAGTTAAAATATGATCTTTCTTTCCATACATGCTGTATGTGTGTACCCGTTGATAACTGCCCCCTGGTCAGTCCCTCACCTTGTAAATTAAATGCACTTGCGCATTTAAGAGTTGCTTCAGCAGCCGCTTCAGAAATGTAATGTTATTCAAAGGAAAGACGCTTCTTTAATGACCTTGTATCCTTCGTGGTTGTCCTGGGTGCAGCCTGTAGACAGACAGTGGTCCAGGGCCGCACAGCGTTTGGTCACAGACACGGTGTTCCCCTGGACGTCCATCATGTGGCGGGTGTAGCAGTACCTGCTGTCTATCAGACACACAGACACTATCGTTAAAGGTGGCAATCTGCAATATTTACAGCCGAGAGTGGATACATTTCTCCAGCGCTAAATGTCAGGGCTGCCGTTTAGCTTTATATATTGTCAAACTTTATCTAACGTCCAGACACTATGGGATCCTGAGAAATAGCGGGCGAATGAGGAAGTTGAACGATGAAAAAAACACTACTTTCACATTATCGCTAATGTAGCTTAGTTGTCAACAGCAATGTAATTAATTACCATGAATATCATGTGTTAACAATCTACTTCTTACTGAAGTGAACAGTAACACTGAAAGAGACTGAGGGTTTAAATGTATTCCAGTGATTTAAACCAATCCTCAAGTTTCTTGTGATATACTACTATTTATCGTTTGTTTATAACTCAAAGAATATGCTTTTAAGATCAAATCTTTAAGGCAACAAATAACTTCAGACATTAGTAGACAACCATAAATCTATATAAAAGAAAAGAGGCAGTGGAATTATACAACCTGCCAATTCTGTTTCTTAACTAAACATGTCCAGTTTAAGTGAAATACATTATGTTTAAGATACAGAAACCAGCAAAGCAAACGTTGGTAACCTTTCATTTTACAGCCTGGTATTTTCCTCTGATTGATATTTCTGCTCTGGATGGAGCCGAGAGGGTCTTAAAAACAGGATTTGATGACAGATACAGAGCAGACTGTAAATACCAGAAAGGCCTCACTGTATTACCTCGTGGGCAGTATACATCCGGAGCCCATCGATTGCATTGGTAGTTGTCTGGTGCATCTTTACATGTGAAGCACTTGAACCCTCCAGGATAAGGTGTGGCTGTGGATAGGAGAGTAGACAAACACTAGTCTACTATTCACCATCGAGATGTACTAACATGTCCTTAAAAAACACTTCCATGAATCAATACATTGTCATTACTCAATGAGCTATAGAAGAAATGCTAATTGTACAATTGACTCCTAATTGTGAGTTCATGTAGGCCTCCGCGCTACAGCAAACAAAGGAATGATGTTGCTGCTACAAACAGACAGAGACAGACTTTCATTTAACTACATACATTTAACTACAGTACATAAAGCACATTTAACTACATACACACTGTGTATCTTTGTTAAGTGTTATATTATGAGGGGACAATACAGTTAGAATTGAATTAATTAACCATCAGTTCAACTGTCTAGATTCTAGAATAGAATGGTCGTGAAACTTTGCATGGAGACCATCTGCCGTGATCAAACAGTAGGCTTGTTTGGTTTGTCCAATTGGCAACCATTACATTAATACTAAGAACACTGGGAATCAGGCCTCCCATTGGATATTGTGCATCCCAAAGGTCACCCTATTCCCTATATAGTGCACTACTTTTGATCATGGCCCATAGGGTAGTAGTGCACTATAAAGGGAATGACATACCATTTGGGATACATCCTAAGACAGCTACAGGTCTCAGGGTCATCCAAACTTCACTCAGCGAACAAAAGTCTGCCTGCCTGCCTGTCAGTCTCACACACACACACACACACACACACACACACACACACACACACACACACACACACACACACTTACTCCCTCTAATCCACCCTCCATACCCAAGCCCCCTGTGCTGGTCAAGGTCATCCTATCCCCCTGTACAAGCCGGGTCCAAACAGACACGCATTTCTTGGGGAATTCAGCTCCGATATCCCTATGAAATGAACAAGCGTGAACCTGATATAGGAGCTCTTGGGTTATTAGATGTTGAAGGCAGATTGTGCCAAGAGAGCTGAGGTAAAAGATCTTAGAAGAGATTTCAGTGTTTGACTGCAGGGAAATGGAGGGAGGGGAGTAGAGGAGGGGGAGGGGGACCATTAGGGGTCTGACCTCGTAAATGCCTGCCTCTTAGAGCGACTGGACATTTCCATCCTCTCATGCGGCGGTGAGCCCAGTTCTCAATGTGGACCAGTATATTGTCCTATAGTCTGAGGAACTGAAGGCTGAGGGACCGAATGGGTCTCAGTTTCACAGAGAGAAAGTGTGGAAAACAGGAAGTCACGTCTGGAAACTCACACACATCTCACTGATACCCAACACCACAGATGTAGTAAGCCAGAGAATGTAAATGTGATATTTCCAGGGTTTTTTATTTTATTTTTTATAAATTAACATTCTAAAAACCAGTTTTTGCTTTGCCATTATGGGGTATTGTCTGTAGATTGATGAGGGGGGAAAACGATTGAATCCATTTTAGAGTAAGGCTGTAACCTAACACAATATGGAAGAAGTCAAGGGGTCTGAATACTTTCCGAAGGCACTGTATATACAGTACCAGTCAAAAGTTTGGACACACCTACTCATTCAAAGGTTTTTCTTTATTTTTACTATTTTTTACATTGTAGAATAATAGTGAATATATAAAAACATTCCAGGTGAAGCTGGTTAAGAGAATGCCAAGAGTGTGCAAAGCTGTCATCAAGGCAAAGGGTGGCTATTTGAAGAATCTCAAATATAAAATATATTTGGATTTGTTTAACACTTTTTTTGGTTACTACATGATTCCATATGTGTTATTTCATAGTTTTGATGTCTTCACTATTATTCTACAATGTAAAAATAAAGAAAAACCCTTGAATGAGTAGGTGTGTCCAAACTTTTGACTGGTAGTGTATACATTTTTTTTACAGGACAAATCTGAGGGGAAACGTGCCCCTGTGTGCCCCCATAAGAACTCTGGATGGATGGATGGATGGCCTTTCTCTTGGCTGTTATAATGGTCACATCACAGTGTTACTCATCTCAAAGGTAACCCAGAGACGTTGCCAGCAGACTCAATCAGAAGAAAAGAAAGGTAGGTATCTACTCCATCTACTACAATTTGATACAAAAATACATTTCCAATGGATGTATATTCATACTTGATGCATGGAGGAGGATGATGTCCTTCACTGTGAAGTCCCGTGATTGAGCCGCTTCCAGCCAATCAGCGATTAGCATTAAAAGTAGGACCCAGGCTGCTGGCCAGGCCTCCATCATTGGCTGAGACCTTCCACATGCAGCTGTCTGATTGGTCAACACCCCCTTAGATGAAAAACGTCCAGGACACTGTTGAGGGAAATCAATCAGTGAATAAAATATGAAACGTAAACATCCTCAGAGGCGGAGAGAGACAGAGACAGAGAGAAAAAAAGAGATGGATTGAGAGAGATCGATCAGTACATCCGGAGTATCTCAGACATGCTGTTGTGTGTGCTGTGCTTTGCTTCATTAGCTAAATGTCATCCAGACACAGATGGCATCTAGAAATTAACCCTATATTGAACCCTATAAAAGCTAGGATCACAGTCTACCGTAAGTGGATTGATGAAGGCTTTTTTCAGGGCGCTTGAATAGGATTACTTTGAGGACTGACATATTATATTTATTGCATGTTATTAAAGCTGTATTACTAATCTGTTACTAATTAATCTATTATTGTCTATATATCTATTACATGTTATTAAAGCTGTAATACTAATCTGTTACTAATTCGTCTATTATTGTCTATATAGCTACTAACTATCCCTATACCCCTCCCATAGAAAACACAATGCATTGTAACTGAACAAATGGCTCTGCCAGTTAGAGAGCTCTAGCACTAGTCCTGGGTCCCACCAGTCACCCAGTGGTCCAGAGAGGATGACTCACTCATGGGGAAGTAATGTTAAGTAAGCCAAAGCTCTACAGCTAAATAACCAAAGTCAGATTAGCTGGTGTTCATTTTGTTATCCCTGACTCCGTAAAACAACAAGAGGAGCTGGACTAAAAAAGGACCAAGTAGACAGAGAGGGAATATCCGTTCCATTTTCCTGTGTTATACAGCCTGACTATGCCAGCCCAGGCCAGAGGACAATGGTCTGCCTGGAGGGAGACTGGTGTCTGCCCCACTAAAGACCATCTTTACTTCCATACCAGTGAGCCTGGTAAATGGGACCACTGCCCATGACAAAGCCCCCGATGGTGGGCTCTCTATGGGCTCAGACCAGGGACAGATGATCAGCCTCCTCTCCTCCTCCATGACTCTGGATAGACAGACTCAACTTGGTTCTACAATATATATGGGCCAATGGCAGGGGTTGAATGATTCAGTCCCTGGTAGAGAGCAATACAGATAAGGTTGGAATTTGACACCTTGCAGAGATAAGATATTAATCCACTTTCTGCCTAAAACTGAAACTTTTTTAGCACTATAGCAAAGCCCTCCTTTACCCCCATTTAAAGCCTGGTAATGTGTGAGCCGTTTTTAAATCATTCATTTCTTCACACAATTTACTTTGCTAAGTAGTCTTATCCCATATCAGAAAGAGGATCAATATTCATTGATTGAACTTCAAACAAACTCCCCAATCTCTAATAAGAAGCCTTGGCTTGCATCATTATGCAATAAAGTAGCTTGAATAAAGCACACTAGCGAAAAAGCTAGAGGATTACCAGGTCTAGCCAGCCTTGGCTTGAACATGAAGTGAGATGAGGAGCTGGATTTATAGGAGATCAGATGGCTTAGATTCTGGATTCCCTTAATTCAACTTCAATTGGCGGTTGTATTTTTGCCTGTGGCTCTTCATGACGACCGTACGGTTGTTTTGCTTATAAATGCTTTAATATAAGATGTCTGTGGTCTATAGAGATATGATTTAATACTGTTATAATTTGTACTTTAATAATGCTCTAATTATGTATAATTATATGTATGTGCAATCTTCATGAGATACACAGCAGACAATCTAATCCAAACTAAAAGATAAGTATTATATATTTATTAGAATCAGATTGATACACATATCATTCTAAGCACATGATGTAGTTTCCATTCAAGTATTTATTTTCAAAGCATGTCAACTATAATACATTGAGACGGGAACTTCAATCATTCCTCTTTCCTCTCAACCCTTCTGCCAGAGCTAGAGCAATAAACAGATCTGTCATCAACACTTTATTACCTGCATGCCAATGGAGGCTGCTGAGGGGAGGACGGCTCATAATAATAGCTGGAACGGAGTCAATGGAACCATGTGTTTGATGTATTTGTTACCATTCCACCCATTCCGCTCCAGTCGTTACCATGAGCCCGTCCTCCCCAATTAAGGTGCCACCAACCTCCTGTGCATGCTTGTTGCGGTAGTGTTTTAGCATATAAAGTAATATTGTATTTTATTTGGTATATTCAAGGGCAGATTTACAGTTGATTGATGGCAGGAAATGGCTTCAAGTAATGACTGGGTGTGGGCACCAGCACGCCTTCCTCTAAGATGAGACTTGCATAGAAACCACATGCATTCTCTCTCATCATTTTATCTCTATTTCTCCATCTCCATCTCTCTCTCTTTGCATTCCACTGGCCACCTGCCAGTAATCACTTACCCAGGTGGAAGGTAGGGCAGGCAATGAGAGAGAGACAGAGAGAGACAGAGACAGAGACAGAGACAGAGACAGAGACAGAGACAGAGACAGAGACAGAGACAGAGAGAGAGAGAGAGAGAGAGAGAGAGATGCAGCCATCTACAGTGATTGTGCCACAGAGTAGCATAACCAGTCTGATGGCTGTGCCTGTCTCACCGCTCCCATACACACACACACACACACACACACACTGCACTGGAAAGACAAACCTGAACAAGACAGACAGAACTGAAACTGATGAAGGCCGAGAGGCAGATGAACAAACATGTATTCATCTTACTGGCAAGCACAGTGCAGTGTGAAGGTTTTCTTTTCTTTCAAAAGTAGAGTGGCAAAATGAATTTTTTCTGACTTCCTCAACAAAGTTCCCTGAATCAGGACTCCCATCCTCCTGTATTACGGCCAGGTGGGAAAGGTGATCCTGATAAAGGCAACGTGATATTCCAGGTCAAACAGGGAACAACAATCCTATGTGAATGACTGGGGTTCCTCCCTTCACTACAGTACAGAGGCAGAGAGAGAGACGCTAAAACCTTCTGTTGTCTTCAGAGATCCATAAGAACTAGTCAGACCAAATGTTGGTGTAGTAGTCTGGAAAGCAACCATTAAGATACTCTCTATGACATGATTTATCGCTGTGGGATACTACAGCACTGAGTAAGAAGCTAAGAGACTTCTGAACCACTGTAGTCAGCTAACAGAGGTTTCTACAGTGTATGGGCCTCTATGTATCTTCATTACTAAAAGAGGCTAGGGTTAATTAAGACGTTATAATTTAATCGTAAATGACAACAGCTAAACTATTGGCCCTGAAGAGACAGCAACTCAGTCTACGTGTAGTTCGATCAGAAGATGATAAAAACCTGGTAAAAAATCATTTTCCTCAAGTCACATAGCATATGTCTCATGTAACAAAATCCTCGGTTTTGGATTCCAAAGAAAGACTGGTCGCAATAAAGCTTTAAATCAATATCCATTCCATTGAAATTCAAGATCAACTCGTGCGTAGAGCACAGATTGTTGGACCACTTTGAGGTGCTGTAAGTCAACTGCAAGGTATCTTAATCCTCGGGTAACTCCATATACATGGCCATATTGTGGGAGTAGATTAATGTATAGTTAGTTAGTGGTTATACAGAGGGCAGGCTGGGTTAAGAACCTCCTGCTGTCAATTGTACAGGAAGTCCTGAGTAAATCCGTCACTCACTGTACAGTACACTCTTAGAAAAAAAGGAGCTATCTAGAACCTTAAAGGGTTCTTTCGGCTGTCCCATAGGAGAACCCTTTGAATAAACCCTTTTTGGTTGCAGGTAGAACCCTTTTAGTTCCAGGTAGAACAGGGTCTACCTGGAACCAAAAAGGGTTATCCTATGGGGACAGCAGAATAACCCCTTTGGAACCCTTTTTTCTAAGAGTATACTCTATGTTTCAATGGACTGAAGCCCATACTCTACCTCTACATGCCTGGTCTCTGGGACTGACCGCTAGAGAAGAAGTAGTACTGGCACAGAGAAAGGAATGGCGGAGGCGTTGTGCCCTTCAGTGTCACTGTGGAACGTCAAGCGGCTGTCTGGGAGGCTGCTGGTGATATGGAGGTAGTTGTTGAGATATGGTCTACTCTCCAAGTGCTCCGGACATCCTGTTGGTTCTATTACTGTACCATCCAGCCCTTTATGATGACCTAGAACATTCCTTTATGATGACCTAGAACATTCCTTTATGATGACCTAGAACATTCCTTTATGACCTAGAACATTCCTTTATGATGACATAGAACATTCCTTTATGATGACGTAGAACATTCCTTTATAATGACGTAGAACATTCCTTTATGATGACCTAGAGCAGTCCTTTATGATGACCTAGAGCAGTCCTTTTTGATGACGTAGAACATTCCTTTATGATGACGTAGAACAGTCCTTTATGATGACCTAGAGCAGTCCTTTATGATGACGTAGAACATTCCTTTATGATGACATAGAACATTCCTTTATGATGACGTAGAACAGTCCTTTATGATGACCTAGAGCAGTCCTTTATGATGACCTAGAGCAGTCCTTTATGATGACCTAGAACAGTCCTTTATGATAACCTAGGCCTTAATTCTGGGTGCTGAGATTGGTGTTGACAGGCAGACAGGTGGTGTGAGGATATGGAGTAATGAATGGACCAGCGGACGGATTGACACACAGCAGGCTCTGGACCTCTAGACCTCTGGACCTCTGGACCTCTGTCTGCCTGGAGTCACAGACTCTGATTCTCTACTTCTCCCCATCTCTCCTTCCTGCCCCTGTGACTCCACTACTTCCATCTCTAATTAGGTGATTTGTAAGAGAGAGGCCCATTTTGGACTCCAGGGGCCAGAGGCTGTCCCTCCCTCGTTAGGGTGCTATACAACTGGCATTTCTGTTGCATGGTTTTTACGTGAAAAGGGAGAGCGAGAGAGAGCGAGAGAGCGGGAGAGAGAGGGAGAGAAGAGACCACTGACTTCTGCATATTAAGGAAAGGAGGCTAAATCTAAATTACAAGACTCACAACAGCCACACTCACACCCCGTTGCACACTCTCACACACAGACAGACTGCCTCTGTGATGGCCAGGCCAGACCACAAATAGACATGTTTTTACTTGAGTGAGTTTAAAAGGAATTCCGGCAAACAACTTGTTTAGAATGCTTCCCAATACCTAATTATTTTTAAAGTTATAGCATGACGCATGATGCATCTTTTTAAGTAGTTGTGAAAATACTGACTGGAATTGAAGCTAAATTGAGAACAAATGCAGATGTATTTCTAGAAGAGGCCAGCCAGACTTCCAGAGAAAATGTCAAATACATCAGACAGTAGGCTGCATGAACATATGTGTACAGTGATGTTAGAATGAGAAGGCCTCTCTCTGCACACCTGGACAGTAGTAATTCTACAGTATGGTTGTAGTGAACCAGCTGATGGTAGAAGCCTCAGGGCAGCCTGCTGTGTCTGAAGCCCTGTCATTCCTATAGCCACAATAACACCACTTAACACTGTAGTGTACCTCATAAATATTGTGTACTGTAGGCCTATGACATAGCTGTAGAAGAGTGTTTCCCATCCCGGTCCAGCACTTCCACATATCTGACCGATGTTAGCACTAGCACAACTGATTCAGCCACAATACAATAAAATACAACAATATGTCCAACTGTTACATCTGAAATCATTTTTCCTGCTCTCTCAGTGTGTCGGGGATTGTCTTTCATTGTGCTGAGGCAGCTATACGTAGGTTTACACCCAGTGGATTATTTATGGGCAAGGCACATATGGCAGCACTGCACTGGCATTGCAGTTCCTAAACCTGTGCCATGCACCTGCTACTACTTTAACTATTCCCTAAATCAGTCTGACAGCTTTGCAATCTCATCCCCTTTGAATGGGGATCACTTAAAATAATGGAATATCTCATCCCCTTTGAATGGGGATCACTTAAAATAATGGAATGCTCACAATTCGTAATCTGCTGAACTTGAGTAAACTCTATTTCAAATTCTTTAAAACGAGATAGAAAGCTGATTGTATTTTATATAGTACAGGGACCACTGCAAGTAAAACGTACAACGTTTCCATACACAAGGGAAAACAAACAACTCACATTTGACTAGTCGTCAACTAAAACGCGCACTGATTTGTCTATTGGAAATATACATGGGTAAGAAGTATGCAGATAAGAATAGTTGTTTTTGTGGATCACAGTTGTTTTCATGTCTCATATCTCATCTCATTATGCACAGTGTTGAAACCTAAAAAAACGTTAAAAAAAACTGCACCGCGATCTCTGAAAACAACACTTACCCAAATAAAACTCCTCCCGAATTTCGTGCATAAATCAACTGAAGTATATTCCACTTCTTATTCTAGATAACCACTACATTCGGGATCAGCAATTGATGTGTAGCCCGATAGAATCGACATACCACCGAGAATGAATGACTCTTGTCGTCCTCTTGCAGTTTCGGGAGTTTTTGTAGGCGTGTATTATGCGTAACCATTGGAACATCCCTGAAAGAGAGATGCAGGGGATATTGTGGAGATGGGGGTCTTCACATTATTCATCCCATATCCATTGTATTAATCTACACATATGGTACATGGAATATTGTCAAGACATGACAAATGAAAATATTTTTTATACATCAATATTTTGACTTTTAAGATCTAAAATGGTTATTGACTTTTTTTATTATGCTATTTGTTATTATTTAACTGTTACACATATTATAAAATCACTCCAATAAAATTAAGAGGCTAGAATGGAAACATATTGTCACGCCCTGACTCAGGGGACTCTTATATGTTGAGTCAGGGTGTGAATATTCTATGTTAGTATTTCTATGTTGCATTCTAGGGGTTGTAGTTCTGTGTTTGGCCGGGTGTGATTCCCAATCAGAGACAGCTGTCGCTCGTTGTCTCTGATTGGGGATCATACTTAGGCAGCCTATTGGCACTCGTTAGTTGTGAGATCTTGTTCCGTGTTTCAGCCTTAGGACTTCATGTTTGGTTTGGTTTGTTTTGTCGTGTGTTTATCAGTGTAATAAACATGTACGCATTTCACGCTGCGCCTTGGTCTGACCCGTCCTTCAACGAACGTGACAGAAGATCCCACCAAACACGGACCAAGCAGCGTGCCCAGGAGGACCGAATACCCTGGACACAGGTGGGGAAGATGTGGTCGTGGGAGGAGATATTTGCGGGGAAAGGACCATGGGCGAAGGTAGATGCCCAGTCAGGAGAGGAGCAACGGCAACACAGAGGACGCCGGTCGAGGAGGAAGCCCGAGAAGCAGCCCCAAGATAATTTTTTGGGGGGGCACACGGGGTGGTTGGCGGAGCCTAGTTTCAGAGCAGAGCCAACTCCCCGTACTCACGCCAGGAAGCGTGTGACTGGGCAGGCTCTGTGTTATGCGGAACTACGTACTGTGTCGCCAGTGCGCTGGCACAGTCCTGTACGTCCTGTGCTAGCACCACGCACGTGCCATGCGAAAATGGGCATCCAGCCAGGACGGGGTGTGCCGGCTCAACGCTCCTGGTCTCCAGTACGCCTCCTCAGTCCCGCATATCCTGCGCCGGCTCTACGTACTGTATCGCCAGTGCGCGTGCACAGCCCAGTGTGTCCTGTGCTAATGCCTCACACATACTGTGCGGAAGTAGGCATCCAGCCAGGACGGGTTGTGCCAGCTCTCCGCTTCAAACCTCCAGTCCGCCTCCACAGTCCAGCCCGGCCCGTTCCTGCTCCTCGCACCAAGACAGTGGTGCGTGTCGCCAGTCCGGCCCAGCCCGTTCCTGCTCCTCGCACCAAGCCAGTGGTGCGTGTCGCCAGTCCGGCCCGGCCCGTTCCTGCTCCTCGCACCAAGCCAGTGGTGCGTGTCGCCAGTCCGGCCCAGCCCGTTCCTGCTCCTCGCACCAAGCCAGTGGAGCATGTTCCCAGTCCGGCCCGGCCTGTTCCTGCTCCTCACACCAAGCCAGTGGTGCGTGTGTCCAGTCCGGCACGGCCCGTGCCCGTTCCACAGGTGCCTGGTCCGGCACCGGTCAGCTGCTCCACTCCGGAGCCAGAGTAGTCCGCTCCACCGGTGCCTGATCCAGCTCCGGTCAGCTGCTCCACTCCGGAGCCAGAGCAGTCCGCTCCACCCTGGTCCAGTCCAGCTCCGGTCAGCGGCTCCACTCCGGAGCCAGAGCAGTCCGCTCCACCGGTGCCTAGTCCAGCTCCGGTCAGCGGCTCCACTCCGGAGCCAGAGCAGTCCGCTCCACCGGGGTTAAGTCCAGCTCCGGTCAGCTGCTCCACTCCGGAGACAGAGCAGTCCGCTCCACCGGTGCCCAGTCCAGCTCCGGTCAGCGGCTCCAGTCCAGACCCAGACGTCAGCCCCTCTCCAAGTTCGGGGTCTCCCACACCAGGGTCCAGACAGGGCTTGGAGTATCGTGGGAGGAAGGAGAGGGGAAGCAGCGCGCTGAGGTCCAGACCAGACCAGGGGCGCAACAGGGAGGCGGAGAGTATGTGGTCGTCACGCCCGGAGCCGGATCCGCCTCCGAGGCGGAATGCCCACCCGGCCCCTACCCTGTTAGGTAAAGGTTGTGCGGTTGGAGTCTTTGGGGGGGGGGGGGGGGGGTACTGTCACGCCCTGACTCAGGGGACTCTTATATGTTGAGTCAGGATGTGAATATTCTATGTTAGTATTTCTATGTTGCATTCTAGGGGTTGTAGTTCTGTGTTTGGCCGGGTGTGATTCCCAATCAGAGACAGCTGTCACTCGTTGTCTCTGATTGGGGATCATACTTAGGCAGCCTATTGGCACTCGTTAGTTGTGGGATCTTGTTCCGTGTATAGGCTTGTTTTGTGTTTCAGCCTTAGGACTTCACGTTTGGTTTGGTTTGTTTTGTCGTGTGTTTATCAGTGTAATAAACATGTACGCATTTTATGCTGCGCCTTGGTCTGACCCGTCCTTCATCGAACGTGACACATATTTGTAATTTATCATACTGTTTTAAACAAACCTAAATCAGTTCCACATAATCACTGTCCTCTTGTGGGATAACTCTTTAGGAGCAACAATAAATATACTATTGTCTGGCTCTTTGAAGTCTGTTATAATGGGTTCAGATTCCACTAGGGCCCTACAGACCTCACATGGTTTCTCTACATCTCTTTCCACTAGCAAGATTTATCACCACAAGTTGAATAGCTTTATGAACTTTAATTGATGATTGTGTGTGACAAAATATTCCCTTTCCCCAGTGGAAAAACTCCCAGTGACACACATTCATTTACCAAATAAATAAATCCTTCGAGAACAGCCCCAGAGATGAATGCCTACATAAAGTCTGAACATAAACTAGGTTTACATAAAAATAGATTGGCAGGGGTTGTAAGAGTTATGTGCCGTTTCTGGACACAGAACACAGATAAAGAAGTGCAGTTAGACATGATTACTGTGTTATTTGCTGTGAAACCTGAAGGATTTATCAACCCATCAAGACAGTGTGTTGAGAGAGTGACCTACTCTTGCCCTGACTGTGCAGAGGTTCACTGTCACAAACTGCTGCAGCTGTTAGCTGGTGTTGAAAATACACCCTTTAACTTGCGTTGTTTGCCATTTCTGTCTGTGTCGGTGTGCTCAACATTTCAACATTATGTAAGACAAGCAAGGAGATTTCAGTGTCCTTACTTGAATGGTCTCTGGATTAATGCCAGCGATATTAGATTGTTTAGCCTGTGATTGTCCTTCTTTCATCTGACTGTACACAGACACACTCAATTCCTCTGAGCATACATAAGTAAAAGGTCAAATTGATGTTGCTCTAAAAACATTTCTATTCAACATATTTTTTTTTACATGTATATATTTAAACAGCATAAAAAAATAGACACAAAGACAGGATAATGTGAAAAGAGAAAGAAAGAAAGAGAGAGAGAGAGAGAGAGAGACGGAGAGAGAGAGGGGAAGAAAAATAAATAAAAGGCAGATGATAATAAATGATGACTTCTTCGTTGGTTCCTAGAGTGCATCATTACAATCCAACATTCCTGAGGAAACCATGGTTAACTGGGTTGGATTTATTCCTGAGGATACCATGGTTAACTGGGTTGGATTCATTCCTGAGGATACCATGGTTAACTGGGTTGGATTAATTGCTGAGGATACCATGGTTAACTGGGTTGGATTCAAACAACACAATGTGACTGACCAACCATTACAAAGTTGTTGAGAAGAATCCACAGGATACATAAACGTGATGGACACTAGAACAAAGCACAGAATGACCCGTGTAATGTCAGCCAAGCCTGGTGAACCTTTTCAGTGTGGAATCTTTTCAGAAGGACCAAAAGTGAACAGGGACTCTATGGGGTATGAGTTATACATGGTGTCAAGGGAAACCCCTGTCCTGCAGCACTGTCTGTCCTAAACATGTTATAAACCTCTGTCCTGCAGCACTGTCTGTCTGTAAATTCTCTTGATTAATTCTATCGTACCAACCTGTTATGATGTCATCATCTAATATGTAACTACTATAAATTCTCTTGATTAATTATATTGTATCAACCTGTTATGATGTCATCATCTAATATGTAAATACTGTAAATTCTCTTGATTAATTATATCGTATCAACCTGTTATGATGTCATCATCTAATATGTAAATACTGTAAATTCTCTTGATTAATTCTATCGTACCAACCTGTTATGATGTCATCATCTAATATGTAAATACTGTAAATTCTCTTGATCAATTCCATCGTATCAACCTGTTATGATGTCATAATCTAATATGTAAATACTGTAAATTCTCTTGATTAATTCCATCGTATCAACCTGTTACAACTGAATTCAGTGTTTGATGTCGAATGTAGACACAGGCTATCTAGTATGTACATCACCATGCTAAAGCACACATCTTCCCACCTGACAGCCATGGACCCTGTGGCTGCTACTATAGCTTATCATAATACTATGTACAAGGTTTACTTTCCTAAATGATATAGCAGTGTTGTGATGTTTCATATTGGACATCAAAAGGAGGTCAGCTGCTCTGCATGGTTGAATATGTTGTCTTCTGCTGCCTACTCAACCAAACTGTGCTAAAGACCCTCCACTAAGAGGGTGTGTGTGTGTGTGAGTGCGTATGCGTCACAGTGTGCATGCGTGTGAGCGTGTGTGTATGCATCACAGTGTGCATGTGCATGTGTGTGTCTGTGTGTGTGTATGTGTATGTGTCTGTGCGTGTATGTGTATGTGTCACAGTGATGTGTATGCGTGCGTGCGTGCGTGCGTGCGTGTGTGTGTGTGTACCAGCCTGGGTGGGCTGTGACCTGTGATGACATTTTGTCTCATCTGTGACCTACTCTATGGTGTCTCAGAAGGCCATTCTCACTTTATACCCTGGCCTGACATGCACCGATCCCTCAGAGGCCTGTTATCAGCA